CCAGCCCTGACACCTCCCGTTCACTGCTCACGGGCAAAAATAGCCAGTTTGGCTCTTGTGTTCCTTAGAAATTCATGAGGTGATGATGGTGATGATGGTGATGGAGGAGGTGATGGAGGTGGAGGTGGAGGTGATGGAGGTGATGGAGGTGGAGGTGGAGGAGGTGATGATGGTGGTGATGGTGATGGAAATGGTGGAGGTGATAATGGATGAGGTGATGGTGATGGTGGTGGAGGAGGTGATGGAGGTGGAAGAGGTGATGATGGTGATGGAGGTGGTGGAGGTGATGGTGGAGGAGGTGATGGAGGTGGAGGTGGTGGTGGAGGTGGTGGTGGTGGTGGTGGTGGATGTGATAGTGGATGAGGTGATGGTGATGGTGATGGTGGAGGAGGAGGTGGTGGAAGTGGAGGTGGGGGTGACAGAACGGCATGTGCCCCGTGAAGGAAACCCTGGTGTCTGGGGAGGGCAGGGCAGGGTGTAGGCCCCGGGGACGGCGTCCTCAAGAGAGAGCCGGTGGACTCTGGGTTCCTGTGTCTCCTGAGACCCGGCCTGACGTCTGACCCCGCCCAGCCTGGCACTCGGGCGCCCAGTCGGCCGGCCCTGTTGGAGGCCGCCGGGCCTCTGCCCCCCCCCATCAGGCTGGCTCTGCCGGGGCTTGGGGGAGGGCAGCAATGTGGGGGGCAGGGGCGGAGCCCTGGGGGTGGCCAGAGGGGCTGGGCGGCTGCCCAGCGTCTGCCCTGCGGACCCGTGACGCGCTCCCTCTGCACTGGGCCCGGCAGTGGGGCTGCTCAGAGTGCCCGCTGGTGGGCCGGGCCCTTCGGGGAGCCAGAGGCCCAGCCCAGCCAGACCCAGATGGGAGCACTGAGGGGGGCTGTCGGGCCGCGTGTCCGCTGTGGGCGCTGCCGGGGGGAGCCATGGCCCTGGGAGCCGAGAACCCGGACCTGCCTCCAGGCCGCGGCCGGACAAGCCCAGGGCACCCAGGCCGGCCGCTGGGCTGGGGCTGGGAGGCCGTGAACCGGACACACTCGCTCACTCTGCGGCCTCATCACCGACCGCCATCAGCGGGAATGATCCTCACCAGGGAGTTGGCGGACAGCGGCAACGAGCAAGGAAAGTGCTTGCCGCCATCGTGCTGCAGGGGACAAGTGGGGGGCAGCGGCCCGGGGATCTGCCTGACGCCCCCTACTGCCTGCAGCCGCCCCCTGGCCCTACCGCCTGGTCCCCAGGGAAAGCGAGAGCCGAGAGGCCTCAGCCCCGGGGGTGCGTGTGCGCGTGTGTTAGTGTGTGCACGTGTGTTAGCGTGCGTGCGTTCGAGTGTGCATGTGTGCATGCGCGCGTGAGTAGTGTGTGCGTGTGCGTGTGCACGCTTGCATGTGTGTTAGTGTGCGTGTGTGAGTGTGTGTGCGCGTGTGTGCGACGGGGGCCACGGGGACCACGATGGGAGGGAGGGACATGGCACGCAGTGGTCAGTGGGCCTGTCCCCTCCTGGCGACTCTGGCCCAGGTGGCACCCGGTGGGCACGGGGCAGAGGGCAGGCCAAGGGGGGCTGTTGGCCGCTGGTGGTAGCAGCCGCCCTGTGGTCCCCACCCGCCACCTCCCTGACGGCCCTGAGCCAGGGAGGCTCCGCTGCACTGCGGCCGGAGGGGGTGGGGGGATGGGGGTGGAGTTCGGGGGAGCCCCGCTGGGGGCAGGGGAGGGCTCCTGCACCCCCTCCCACCCCAGGCCCCTCTGCCTGCTCTGCTTTTATTTTTATTTTTTAATACATTTTATTGATTTCAGAGAGGAAGAGAGAGAAACATCAGTGGTGAGAATCGTTGGTGCCTCCTACGCCTTCCACGGGGGCTGGAGCCTGCAACTTGGGCACGTGCCCTTGACGGGGATTGAACCCCGGGCCCTTCAGTCCACATGCAGGCCGACGCTCTATCCACTGAGCCACGCAGGCCTGGCTACCTCCTCTTTTGGCCAAACTCCCCTAAAGTGGTCTAGGTGACCCCACCCACTGCCCGCCCCCACCTGAGGCTCCACAGTGGCCCCCAGCCCCGCCCCCTCCCTCCCGCTGTGCCTGCCCCTCCCTGACCCCCTCCCTCCCCGCAGCTCCTTCCCCTCGGGGACCCCTGGGGAGCTCTGTCCCCGGTGTGGCCGGTGCTGTCCCCCCTCCTGTGGACGCCTGGCCAGTGTCAAGTGCTGCATGTGGCCCCTCAAGCCCTCCCCTCCCACCAATCTGGGCCTGACCTGCAGGGGCGGCTCCTGGGACTGGAGGTCCTCAGGCTGCGCTCAGGACACCCCCTCTGCTGTCTCAGCCCCCCCCCCCCAAGAACCCCAGGCCTCCTCCGGCCCAGACCCTCCTCCACCCAGACCCTGGTCGCTCCCTGCGTGATTACTGTCCGCCTCTCGGGCACACGGCCGGCCGGGCCCTCCCTCCGCGGGGCAGGAAGAGAGAAGGGCCTCAACCTGAAGTGGCGACCAGAGGGGGTGGGTGCGAGTGGGTGCGGTTGGTGCTGGGAGGCCGGGTGTGGATTCTGTCGCCACCGGTCCCTGGAGCCCCTCCCAGGCCGGACCTGGGGGAGCACAGGGCCCAGTGCCAGGGCCAGCTCCCAGACCCAGGGCTGGGCACCTTGGCCGCCTTTGTCCACACTCCTGAGACCCCGTCCGTCTCCAGTCCCTGGCCCCTGGCCCACGGCCCCTCCGCCCCAGCCCCGCCCCAGCTCCGCCCCATCCCCCAGCCCCAGCCCCAGCCCCCAACCCCCGTCCCATCCCCACCCCGGCCCCCAGCCCGCCGGCTGCAGGTCCCGGCGCGGCAGGCCCTCGGAGGGAGGGAGGCCGGGCTGCCTGGGGCGGCGGGGCTCAGCGGGCACACGGGCACCTGGCAGCAGAGGAGGACGGCCTCGCTCTGGCTCTGGCCGGGCCAGCCTTCCCCCAGCTGCCCTCCCCCCAGCCTGGTCGGGCCAGCCTTCCCCCAGCTGCCCCCCCCCAGCCCGGCCGGGCCAGCCTTCCCCCAGCTGCCCCCCCCCCCAGCCCGTGGTTCCCCAAAGGCGTTTGGAAAAGCGCCTCCAAGCGCCCAGAGGAGGCCCCTGTTTTCCACTCTCCGGGGAGCTGGTGGCGGGAGGGGGACGGGCAGGGGAAAGGGGGACAGGGCAGGGGAAAGGGGAAAGGGGGACAGGGCAGGGGAAAGGGGGGAGGGGGACGAGGCAGGGGAAAGGGGGACGGGGCAGGGGAAAGGGGAAAGGGGGACGGGGCAGGGGAAAGGGGAAAGGGGGACGGGGCAGGGGAAAGGGGGGGAGGGTGACGGGGCAGGGGAAAGGGGGGAGGGGAACGGGGCAGGGGAAAGGGGGGAGGGGGACGGGGCAGGGGAAAGGGGAGGAGGGGGACGGGGCAGGGGAAAGGGGGGAGGAGGACGGGGCAGGGGAAAGGGGGGGAGGGTGACGGGGCAGGGGAAAGGGGGTAGGGGAACGGGGCAGGGGAAAGGGGGGAGGGGGACGGGGCAGGGGAAAGGGGGGACGTGAGGTCGAGCGGAGGAGGAGGGGTGTGAGGTCGCACCAGGAGCTCAGGGAGCTCCTCCCCAAACCCACTCGCACTTTCTCTGCAGGAGGAAGGCCCCCCGAACCTCGAACCCCCGCGGCGACGGTGGAAACCAAGGACTCAAACCGGAGCCCGAGGGCCGGCCTGGCTCGTCCCTGAACCGCCCCCCTGGCCCCCGCGCGGCGGGCTGGGCCGACCTGCCGGCGGGAGGCGCCGCCTCGGACCCGGGCCGCTCGGAGCTTGGCCCAGGCGCAGCCTCCCTTCGCCCGCGGCTCCGATTAGAACAAACTGGCTTCGCGCGCGGAGAACTCGGACCCGGGACCGCAGCCCCCCACCGGGCGGGCGCCCGAGCGCTTCCCCCGGAGCCGCCCGGAGGGTCCCCGCCGCCCGCGCCGCTGCCGGCCGGGCCTCGGGGGACGGGCCGCCTCTTCGGGCGGAGGCCGGGGGGGCGGGGGCGCCGGGCCCCCCGCGCCGGGCGCGGCGCCTCTTCCGACGGCGGACGCGGCGGGAAGGAAGCGGCTCCGGCGCGTTCGGGTCTCAGCGGTTTATTGGGGCGGCCTCTCCCCGCGGTGCCAGGAGGGACCCGCAGCGGCCCCAGGCCCGGGCGTAACCCACAAACTTCAGGAAACAAATGGAGACACTTCACCGCCCCCGTGCGCGGGCCAGGCCGAGCCTCCGGTTCTCTCCCTTCTCCGAAGGTAAACGGGTGCTTTTCCCCGGCGGCGGGACGGGGTGCAGCCAGGCTCCTGGGCCCACCCCCAGGGGCGGGGCGGGGCGGGGCGGGGGGCAGGCGGGCGGGGGCGCATGCGGGAGCGGAGTCCGAGGGGTCCCCGCGGGCAGGAGCCTCTGCGGGGCCTTCTCCCCGTCACCGAGCGGAACACACACACACACACACGGGGGAGCCAGGCGCTTCCGGCCGTGAAGAGGGCGAGGACCGGAGGGGAGACAGGAGGGCGGGTCCCCGGGCCGGGCGTGCACGTGGGGCCCCGGGAGCCGGAGCCGCTTTCCCGGAAGCCACTGCGCTCCCCGGGCCGGTGCGGGCGAGGGGCCGCGCCGCGGGGAGGCCTCGGCCCGCCGGCCTCCGAGGGCCTGGAGCGGGCGCCCGGGGCCGGCCCCGGGGGCTGGGCCTCTCCGGGGGCGCGGGGAGAGCCTGGCCGGGGCTGGGCCTCTCCCAGGGGCGCGGGGAGAGTCTGGCCGGGGCTGGGCCTCTCCCGGGGGCGCGGGGAGAGTCTGGCCGGGGCTGGGCCTCTCCAGGGGGCGCAGGGAGAGTCTGGGTCGGGGCCTCTCCCGGGGGCGCAGGGAGAGTCTGGCTGGGGCTGGGCCTCTCCGGGGACCCCGGGGGCGCAGGGAGAGTCTGGCCGGGGCTAGGCCTCTCCGGGGACCCCGGGGGCGCGGGGAGAGTCTGGCCGGGGCTAGGCCTCTCCGGGGACCCCGGGGGCGCGGGGAGAGTCTGGCCGGGGCTGGGCCTCTCCGGGCGGCGCTCACAGGAAGAAGCCGGGCGCGCCCTTGGCCCCGCCGGGCCCGGCCTGCGGCGGCGAGGACGCCCGCGGGAGGCCGGGCCCGCCCGCGCCCCCGGGGCCGCCGCGGGCCGCCAGCTTCTCGAACTTCTCCCGGTAGCGGTCCCGCTCCTCCGCCAGGCGCCCCAGCTCCCGCCGCAGCTGCTCCACCTGCGCCTGCAGCCGGCTCCGCTCGCTCTCCAGGACGTGCCGCTGCTGAACGCGCTTGAAGCGGCAGGACTGCGCGTAGCCGCGGTTCTTGAGGGTGCGCCGCTTCTGCTTCAGCCGCAGCACCTCCTCCTTGCTCACCCCGCGCAGCTGCCGGTTCAGCTCGCGCACCGACATGGACACCAGCTGGTCGTCGGAGAAGCGCTCCTCCAGGCGCACGTGGTGGTGGTGGGCGCCGTGGGGGTGGCCCGCGCTCCCGTCCCCCGCGCCGCCGCCCGCGAAGCCCGGGCCCCGGAAGGCCTCGTAGGCCGCCGCGGCCGCCGGGTGGTGCGCGCCGTGGTGCCCGGCGTGCTGGCCGCTGCCGAGAAGCGCCTCCACCGCGTCCTCGGGCGTCAGGCCGAGCGCCTCGGGGCTCAGGTGGTGCTGGTAGCCGCTCATCCAGTACAGCTCCTCCGGCGCCGGCTTCCCCGCCGCGCCCCCGGCCGGCGCCGCGCCGCCGCCCCCGGCGCCCGGGCTGGGCGCGCAGAAGCTGGGCGAGGAGGGCACGGAGGAGCAGGGCGTGCTGAGCGGCGTCGAGGACACGGAGCCGGGAGGCAGGCGGTGGCAGAAACGCTCGGCTTCGGCGGGTTCCTTCTTCACCTCGAACTTCATCAGGTCGAAGTCGTTGACGTACTCGATGGCCAGCGGGCTACTGGGCAGCTCGGCGCCCATCGCCAGCTCCGCGGCCATCGCCCGGGGCCCGGCCCCGCCCGGCTGTGCCCCGAGGGAGGGCGTGGGGGGGCCGCGGGCCTCTCCCCGCTCCGAGCGCCACGGCGCTGGGTCCCGGCGGGGCGGCCGCGGGCGGAGGGACGGGCGGCTCCCGGCTGCGGCCCCGGGCGTAAAAGTTTCGCGCGCGGTCAACTCAGCCTCGGCAGCTGGGGCCGCGCGGCGGGGTCCTCGGGCGGCGCGGGCGCGGGCCAGCCGCGCTCCCGTCCCCCTCCGGCGCCCGGGCAGGTGGCCGGCGGCTGGCGGGGCGGCCGCCGCCTGGGCTGCAGGGACTCCCCGGCGCTCCGCCCGCGCTCGGCCGGCCCCGCCTCCAAGGCCGCGCGCCGCACCGAGCGCTCCCCTTTTATAGAGCCCGGCGCCCTGCGCCCGGGCCCGCCTCCTTGGGAGGGGCGCGCGCCCTCGGGCCAATAGGAGCCCCAGACCCGCCGCCCTCGTTTGCCTATCCCCATGGCAACCCGGGTCCCAGCTGTCAATCTCCTGCGGGGAACAGCTGTGGGAAAGGGTGGTGACGGGCCGCGGGCTGGAGCAGGGCCCTCTGGTGGCCGCCGCGGGGCACTGCAGCGGCGGGGGGCGCGGAGTCGCGAGGCAGGGGGCCGCCGGGTGTGGGCACCGGTTTGCGGCCTCTGGGCCCTCGCGTCCGCGACGGGGCGCCCGGGGAGTCTCGGGGAGCAGAAGGTGCCTCTTGGTGCCTCGGTCCCCGCACAGCCCCGCTGGCCGTGACCCAGCTGCCCCTTCCCGGCGCGGCCCGGCTGGCGGAGGCAGCGTCCCGCGCGGCTGGCGTGGCCGTGCGGGGACCTCCCGGCCTCTCCACACCAGGACACCGGCCCGGCGGCCGCGCGCGGTCAGGCGGGTTCAGGAATTCCGTCCACCAAGTTTTACCCTGGCGGCGGGACCCAGGGTGCGGACAGGTGGGGAGGGGACCGCTCCGGGGCCAGGGTGCGGGCACAGAGGGGCGGGTGCTCCAGGGCCAGGGCGGGGCCGGCTCGGCAATTAGGAACCCGGCCCCAGCTGCCCACCAGGCGGGGTCTGGAGCAGGGCGCGGGGGCCTGGGGTTTGAAGGTGCAGTCGGTGGCCCAGGGACGCCCTAGCGGGTGAGGGTCCCTGCCCCTGCCCCCCCAGGGCTAATGGGGGAGAGGGGCCTGACTGGGAGTGACCCGCTCCCCATCCTCTTTCCGGCTGTTGCATGACTTGTGTAAAAAGGCAACACTAACTCCAAGCATTTATGCGTAAGAAGAAAAGTGAGGAGGGACGCAGGCAGAAAGCCGCTAGAGGCATTCAGCTACCGAGTTGCTCCTTGTTCTGCTCAAACTTCTGTAATTTATAATAAAAATGTCCCACCATTGGGGCTGAAATCCATGCCTAATAGACCACGGGTGGCCCAGCCCCCTTAACGGGCCTCTGTGCTGCCCCTACTGCCCCCACCCCCTGCTGGGGGGGACCCCCAGGGATGGCCCAGCAAAGGGGGGCAGGATGGAGTCCCCAGGCCAGGTGTTTAGACTCCAGGACACAGAAGCATCACAGGGTTTGGGGCGCCCCTTAGAGCCCCCAGTGTCCAGGGGGAGGCCTCTGACTCAGGAGCGAAGCGTTTGCCGGCTGGGGGAGAGGCTGGCACTGGGTGCCCCTTGGCGCCGGGCTGGAGGAGCCCAACCCCAGGCCCACCTGGGTCTCCTTCCAGCTCCTGGTCTCCAGCTGAGGCAAGGGGTTGGGGAGGAGGGCATGTCGGTCTCTGGGCGGCAGCTCCCGAGCTGGGGCAGGGGGAGGATGTTGGACGTTGTGACAGAAAGCTGCGCCTCTCCTCCCCAGGCATTGTCTCCTGCGCACCGAGGCCACAGGGCCGGCGCCCGACCCACCTCGGGATCCCCACTGAGTGCCCAGGCCTTCCAGAGCCTTCCATGCTGTCCGTGGGCGGCCTGACTGGGGCTCCAGGCACTGAGCTAAGCACAGGGGGTCTTGGGTCCCCCCTTTGCCCAGGCCTCCCACTGGCAGTCCCAAAGCCTTGGCCTGGGGAGCAGGGCCGTGGGGGGTGGGGGGTCAGGCGTCCATCAGGCAGGTCAGCTGGGGCAGCACGCGCACCCTGCCCTTACTGAGGAGGGGGCCGAGATGGCCAAGCCAACAGCCGTCTGTCCTTCGTCTGTCCAGGCAGGAAGCAGTTACCCGGCCCCTCCCACTGTCAAGGCTTCACCCTTCAAGGACAGCTCAAGGGCGCCCCAGGGCGAGGGGAGAAGGAAGGGGTGCAGGCGGGTCCCAGCCGTGACCAGGGACAGCCACCAATGACCAGCAGCGTGGGAGTGTGCGAGCCGCACCAGCTGCCTCCGCCTCAGGCTGCGACCTGCCCGGCCCCTGCCCGGCCCAGCCACCCTCGAGCTGCCTGGGGCCTCTGCAGGGCTCGGCGGGGGCTCACCCGCCTGCTGCAGCCACGGCCCTGGTCCCTGGGCCTTTCCCGTCACAGGAGCGTGGCTGAGGGACAGGCCGGGGCTGCTGTTCAGGCCCAGAGCCTGGCGGGCGGGTGGGAGGACTGAGCAGTGGTCACGCAAGGTCTGAACCTCCAGTCTGCGGCCAGCCCCCCTTCTCCAGCGGCTCCCTGTCCCTGCAGGCTCCCAGGGCCCCATGGGCAGCGGCCACTGTGAGCTGTGGCGAGGCGACAGACAGGCAGCCAGGCAGACGTGGGACAACCTTTATTGCTGAACGTGAATGCCACCAGGGAGCTGGCTGGTGGCCCCGTGCCAGGCGGGAGTCCTGGGTGAGGCTCGGGTGCAGTGACCACTGCCCCACCTTAGAGGGCGGGGGGGGGGGTACAGAGGGGCTGGGCAGGGCCTGGTGAGGGAGGGAGGCCTGGCTCGCACTGGTCAGGAAGGATGGGGCTGGGTGGGCGGACGATGGCCCTGCGGCCCCAGGGCGTCTCGAGGCAGCAGCCCTCCGAGGCGGGGCGGGAAGCCCCTTCTGTCTGCGCCGAGGGGTGGAGGTAGGCGTGGGCTGGCACCGGCTCACAGCCGGGGTTTGATATGCAGAGGTTTCCCTGTTCCGAGAAGGGCAGAGGTCAGGCGCCAGGACCCCTGGCTGGCGGCAGGGGCGCTGGAACAGGGACAGCGGCTTCCGACAGGCCACCTGGGACCCAGCTGTCCATCGGGGGCAGGCCTGGCCCCGGTGGCCCCGAAGAGGGGAGCAGGGCCCGAGGCCGGGGGCGGGCTGCACCTTCCGGGAAAAGCCAGGAGTGTGCAAGCAGCGGGCTGGGTGGGGCAGGGCACCGAGGCCCCGTGCGGGGACGGGGCAGCCTGTGGTCAGGAGAAGCAGCCAGAGGGTGGAGAGTCATCCCCGGGGCCTCTCCCTTCCCATGAGCCCCTCAGGCTGTGCCTGAGGACGGGGCGCTTCCGCACAGCCCCACGGGCAGGCCTCTCGGTGGGCCCCTCAGGGCTGGGGCCCCAGCCACCTGCTCGGCCCTGCGCCGGCCCAGCGCCAGCCCAGCTGTGGCCGGGCCTCTGCCTCGCTGCTTTGTGCAGCTTGGGTGGCCTCCTGCCCGGGCCCTCCCCGCCCACCTCCGCAGAGCAGAGGCCGGTGGGCCCCTGCCTGCCTCCTTGGACTCTGGGTGGCTGCCGGTTCCTGATTTACAGAATAAAAGTGGCAGAGCTCCCAGCGGCCCCTTCTCCGCGTCCGCGATGGAGCGTGCTCAGCGGGGCTGCTCGGGAGGCTGCGGCAAGCATCTTCCGTGAACGTTACGACCGTGAAATATGACAATGAAAGGACGGCCGTATGGTCGCACATTTGCAGCCCGCAGAGCTGCGTGGGGTTTATCCTCACTCAGACGCGCGGAGAGCTGTAAGATGTTTACAGAAGGGCCGTTTGCAGCCATAAAACCCTCTTTTCTCTCCTCAACAAGGCTGAGTGGAGCCATTACCGGGCCCAAGTGCTCACCGGGGAGCGGAGCATCTGTTGGCTCCGGAGCGTGCGCCAGCTTCCAGAACAAATTAGCAGAATGGGTGCTTCCTAATTAAATCAGCCTCGGCCTGCGCACCCACCTCGGCCAGCCCGCCCCGTGGCGGCAGGTGGCACGCTGCGGGCACGGGAAGACCCTGGCCGTGGCTGGGCTGGGCCAGGCCGGCCTACCTGAGTCCTTGGCGGGGCAGCTCCTGCTGGCCGGGGTGCGGGGCTGGCCGCCCGGGCTGGGCGAGGACTGCAGGGCGATGAAGGAGGGCAGCTTGGACAGGCCCCCGGAGCCCTTCCCTGCAGAGGCGGGCTCCTCCTGCAGCGCCGGCTCCTCCCGGTCTGGGGAGGGGGCGGGGGAGGGTGGGGGGGAGGGGCAGGGGGAGGGGGGGGAGGGGGCCTTGGATGGCAGGGGGCAGGCTGAAGCGGAGGGGAGTGGGGAGGCCGGGCCAGCAGCCTCCGAGGCTGGGGAGTTGGGCGTCTGCCTGGCGGGGCGCTGGGCGGCCGGGGGCTTCCTGCGGGAGAGGGAGAGGGAGAGGGGCGTGGAGGGCGGCTCCCCAGGGCGTTGGGAGGCCCCGCCAGGTGCCACCTGGAGGTCCCTCCCTGCGCGGCCCCCGTCCTTCCCTGCTCCCCCCACCCCCGCCACCAGGTATCACCCTCCTCTTCGCAAGGCTCCCACCCTTGGGCAGGCGAGCCACAGGCCCCAGCCTCAGCAGGCCCACCCCGCCTGCCCTCCCCTGGGGAGAGGGAGTCATGGCTGAGGACCTTCCTCCCTAGGGCTCGGGCAGGACGGGGCGGGGGCGGGGGCGGGGAGGGGGCAGGGCAGGGGTGGGGCAGGGACATGTGCAGGGCAGGGGCTGGCAGCACGGCACTAGCTGATCGGGGCTGGGATGCCCTTGGCTCTGTCCAGCCGGGAGATTTCCTTTAAGGCCTGAAGCCAGAAGAGCTGGCGGGATGTAGGCTCCCCAGAGGTCCCGGATGTCCCCAGAGCTTCCCCACAGCACCCCCTCACCTGGGCCCGTGGCCAGTGGAGGCCCTGCTCCTGGGAGGCGCGCTGCTGGGCTCCGGGGCCGGGGCCGCAGCTGCCCGGCGGCCGGGGCACTTCTGGCTGCGGTGGAGCAGCTGGCACTGGGCGCCCCGGGGGCAGGTGCCCCCGCGGGAGAAGTCGGGGCACAGCAGGGTGTGCTTCTTCTTGCACTGGGGGGAGAGGGCACAGCTGGGGCCTCGCCAGGCGGGCGGCCTTCCCGCTCCCTGAGCCTGGCCGGGCTCCACTGCAGCCTCTCCATGTGCCCTGAGCACCGGATGGCGAGGGCACCGCCCTGCTGGAACTGAGGGCCTGGGGGTCCTGCTGGGCTGGATGGGGGTTCTCGAGGTGCGAACCCCTCCTCCTGACCAGAGCTGCCCTCGGGAGGAAGGCCTGGCAGGGTGAGGAAGGGTGAGTGGACCTGGGCTGGAAGCCTGGGAGGTGTCCCCAGGCCGCCGCATACCGTCCACCTCGGCTGTCAGGGCGGCTACGTATACCGAGGCCACTGCCTGCCCTGCCGTGGGCCCTCCTCCAGCTGAGCGGCCCTTTCCCCCCTCCCTGCAGATGGCTCTGTGGGCAGGGCAGATGCTACGAGCCTGGGCACCCCACTGTCCCTCACGTGGTGGCAGGCAGCCGGGACCTGCCAGAGATGGGCTGGAGGAGAACCACTGCCGAGCCTGCCCAGAACCGAGTGTAGACCCGTGGCCGGGCCTGGACGCCGCCTCCGGCAGAACCTCCCCTGCTCTGGCCGCTCCTGTCCCGACTGGGCCCCGTGGCCACCAGGGACCAGAAGCCATCGCAGGGGCGAGAGCCCGCAGGCCCTGCATGAACTAACCTCTAGCAAAACAGACACAGAAAGACAAGCATCCGCCCCCAGTACCGGCGTGAACGCTGGAGAGCGTCCCCGCAGACGCTGCAGAAAGAATGCTCACTCTCCTCACCGGCCCCGACGGCGTGCTCACTGAGCGAGCCCTGCGCACAGCCACAGCCCTCCAGAAGCGGCTGCCCAGACGTGTGGCGGCCAGGAGGCGGCTCAGCATGAACACCTCTGAGCAGAGAAGGCCACCAGGCGGCCTCACGGGTGAAGCCTATGGAACTCCCAGTTCTGAGACGGATGTCTGAGGAGCGCTGGCCGACCCTGAATGGCCAAGCAATCTGCGTAGCCGACCCCTCCCCTCGGTACCGACGGGGACCAAGATGCCCAGGAAAGGAGACCAGCTCACACTCCTGTGCGCAGACGCAGGCGCCTCCGCCAGATGCCAGAGCGGGATTCAGGGCGACCACGTCGGCGCTGTTCCCAGGAGGATGGCTCACCACCCAAAGAGCAATCCCCGTCACGGCCTCAGTGCTGGCTGGCGCCTTGGAAATGGGAAGGAGGAAGCTCAAGGCTCATCTCAATGAAGCAAAACAACTGGACAGGATTCAACGCTTTTATGATAAAAACACCAAACACACTAGAATCTGGGCACCTGCGAACAGGCCTCCCTGGCCCGCGCTCAGGGTGCAGGCTGGCAGATTTCCCTCTGCGGTGAGAAAGCGGACAAGGGTGCCCCTTTCTGCCCCTTTTATTCACCATAGTACTGCAAGTCTGGCAGAGCAATGAGGCAAAGATAGATTAAAACATAGCAGGCATCCAAATAAAAAGGAAAGAAATTATTTCTGTTAGCAGAGAAGAATCCTCAGAATAACTTAGATCAGTAAGTAAATTCAGCCATGTTCCAGGATATAGAATCAACATATAATTACGTTGTCACATACTTGCAATGAACAATGTAAAAAGGAAATTTCAAAACTCTCATCTATACTAATAAAAGGATAATATGGTAATTAGGCCAAGAGACCTTTTAGACAAAACCATGAGGGCAAACAGGCCAGCAAGGGGTGGGGGGGCAGTTGGGGGTAAGTAGGCCAGTGGGGAGGGCAGTTGGGGGCGATCAGACAGGCAGGCAGGGGAGCAGTTAGGAGCCAGGGGTCCTGGATTGTGAGAGGGATGTCCCAGATTGGAGAGGGTACAGGGCTGAGGGACACTACCGCCCCCCCATGAATTTATAATACTTAGAAATAAACTTGAGCCGAAGCTGGTTTAGCTCAGTGGATAGAGCATAGCCTGCGGACTGAAAGGTCCCGGGTTCGATTCCGGTCAAGGGCATGTACCTTGGTTGCGGGCACATCCCCAGTAGGAGGTGTGCAAGAGGCCGCTGATCGATGATTCTCTCATCGATGTTTCTAACTCTATCCCTCTCTCTTCCTCTGTAAAAAATCAATAAAATATATTAAAAAAAGAAAGAAAAAAAAAAAAGAAACTTGAGCAAGGCGGCCAAGGACTTGGACTCTGAAGACCACAGAGCTGCTGAGCGATGAGAGCAGAGCTGCTGAGCGATGAGAGCAGGCGCGCCTCGGCTGGGCAGGAAGACCTGCCCCTGCTCCCGCCACCCACGGCGAACCCCCGGCTCCAGCCAACCCCAACGGCCGTCTTTTATCTTTGCTTTTTTAGAGACAGAGAACTCATCCGAAAGCATCCAGAGGGAACCTCAGGATCCCGAAGAGGCAAATCAGTCTTGGGGAAAAGAACACTATTGGAAGGACTGACGTTTCTGATTCCTAACTTCTTATAAAGCTGCAGCAATAAGCTCCGGCGTCAGGACAGACAGACCAGCGGATAGAACAGACCCTGGAGATAAGCCCTCACACCAACGGCCAACCGGCTCCCAACAAGGGCGCCATGTCCGCGGGAAAGAACCGTCTTTTCGCAAACGGTGCTGGGACAACGGGACACCCACAGGCAGACGCGAGGTGGCCCCAACACACGGACAAAAGCCAACGAGGAAGCCGAGGACCCTCACAGGGCAGGGCGGGAGCTGCAGGACGCTGACTCTGACCAACACTCCTGGGATTTGGCACCAAAACTCAAGCAACAACAGACAGACTGCATCTAAGGGCACCGCGGGGCGGGGAGAGGGGGACGGGCGGGGGGCAGAGGAGGAGCCACAGGGAATGACGAGACGACTCACTGAGCGAGAGAGATTCGCAGATCGCGTCTCTGAGGGATGATTCCAGAACATGCTCATTCCCAATCCAAACGGGCCAAGGCAAAGAGCGAGCACCGTGCCCGAGGCAGGAGTGCGGCTCACCGGGGCCCAGGCAGCGTAAGGAACACGCCCTCCGTCCGGGGAGGCCGCAGGGCGGGAGGCCGCCGGCAGTGGCAGTGCCGCCTGAGGTTCTGTGCTGAGGGCCCATGGGATCACTCACAGGAGCGCACACGGCTATGTCCCCACTCTGCACCGGGAAGCGGAACACCTGGCACTCAGACTGAGGGCTTTAACCACAGGGAAGGAGCCAGGCTCCAGGAGGAGCGGCCAGTGCAGGCTGGAGGGGGCAGGGCTACAGGGGGCAGGGCTGCAGGGGGCAGGGTTGGAGGGGGCAGGGCTGCAGTGGAAGAGCCAGGTGAGCCTGCAGCACCTGCAGTGCCCCAAACGCCAGGCGGGGTCATATGCCTGAAGTGGACAGGGCGGTGATGGATGTAACCTGCAGAGCCCACACGGATGCAAACCCAGCTGAGCTCTCCCTGAGCGAGCGCCACCACAAACCAGGGACCAGACGACGGCTTTGCACACAGAGGGCAAGCACAACAGCTGTGGAACTAGTGGTGGAGTGGCTTGCGGAGTCTCCCCGCCACACGCACACGCACACGCGCACACACGCAGGAGCAGAAGGTGACAGCACACTGAGTGACGGGGTGAGGGCACACCGCGGAGGCCGGGGCCCGGCCCAGCGAAGCCAGCGCCGCCGGAATCGTTCCCAGAAAAGGGTGGGCTCTTTAACACGCCGCGGCTCCAGGAAGCAAGGTTAACATTCCCCGAGATCCGGGGAATATTACAGACTCTCTGGGGCCCGTCCGGGCTGGCACTGCAGCGGGAGGTGCCCACTCAGCACTTCTCATATTATTTAGAGAATCGAGTTAACCCTCCCGGGCCCGGCTGGCCCGCCGGCCTGCTCAGCGCTTTCCCATCTATAATTACGAGCCGCTATCCATCACGGCCGCGCCGCCCGCGCCGAAAGGGGCTCCGTAAGCACTTCCTCCGGGGCTGCAGCTCTTCCGCAGAGACGGGAATGTTCGCGACCATCCCCCCGCCCGCCCACACCGGTGCCTCCGGGTGACCTGTCCACTGCGGTCAGGGCCGTCTCGGCCTGCTGGCAGGAAGGGTCAGCTCTGGCCGTGCTCCCTGGCCCACGCCCAGCCCTGCCCGGAGCCCCCGCCTCTCAGCCCAGCAGGCGCCGAGGCGGGCGCCGGTGACCAGAGGCTGGGCAGGTGGGCAGCTGCCCCTGGGGTGCCAGGGACTGAGGAGACCCGTCCAGGCCCCAGCTCAGGGCCGTCCAGCAGCCCCTCGCCCACCAGGCCACGCGGGACAGGAGGGGGGGGCGCCAGCGCGGGCTGCGGGCTGTGGGCTCACCTTGGCGCCCAGCGGGCAGTAGCCTTTGAGGAAGTCGGTGCAGACCTCCGCCTTCCGAGACACGTAGACGTGGCTGTAGGGACAGTCGCTGTTGTTGCAAATCCCCTTCAGGAAGTAGGAGCACACGGGCATCTGTGGGGAGGGGGCGGCAGTGAGGGCAGGGCACAGCTCCTGCACCCACTTCTCAGGTAAACACCTGACTCTGGGGTCCTGCCATGTGCTCCACAGCCAGGATGAGGCCCACAACTGTGGCCGGAGGCTCCACAGGACCCGGCCCAGGAGGAGGGGACCCGGTGCGGCCACAGCAGGGCCAGCAGGGGCTCAGGACCAAGATGGGCCTCCGGAGCCGCCCCAGCCAGCACCTGCCAGTCCCAGGCTCCCCAGTGACTGAGGAGCGACGCCTCGGGGTCCTGGGCTGGAGGCCTGCCTCTCCTGGGTCAGGGTGGACGGTGGGACAGGAAGATGCACAGCCCCCTGCTTCCCACTGGGGAAACTGAGGCCTGAGAGCCAGGGGAGTCCCTGACCCCCCCTGACCTTGGCAGCTGTCACGTTTCCAGTGACTCCTCTCTGGGACCCCGCTGCCCGCTGTCCTGAGGGAGCCACACAGGGCCTCGGGGTCTCCCCCTCTGGTCTCTGCCGGGGCAGGCCAGCACCCCAGGCAGACCCACTGGCTCCCCGCTTTCTGGGGAGGGCGGGAGGGGGCCGAGGAGGGGGCAGAGGAACAAAGGCGTTTCGGTGCCTGCGGACTTGCTTCTAATTGTCTTTTAACTGCAGCGCCGAGGGGAGAGGGCCCGCGGCGGGGGCTGCAGGCAATCCCTTAATGTGGCTTTTGATCTAGAGCCCAAATTAGCTCTTATAAAAAGGATAATGAAGCCAGCTCCACGCCCGGCGGAGCTCCGCCTCGCTGTCAGCTCGGCCGTTATCCGGAAGAAACTGCCTTCTCGTTTCAATTAACCTTGTTTGCACCCACGGCGTCCACACGAGGAACAGAAACATTAACTCAGACGCCGCGCGGCCACGTCAGCCAGCGGGCGCACGGCTGCGGAGCCGGAGCTAATGAACCCGAAACTCGACGTGAGCCTCCAAATCGCTCGCCAGAGCCGGAGCGCCATTAGGGAAAATGCTGATTCTCCGGAGCTCCTCAAGGGGAAAAGCTGTTGCCGCAGCAGCGCTGGCCACCCGCCCCCCTCGGCCCTTCGCGGGCTCCCTGGCCAGCGCTGCCCAGCCTGAGCTGCCACCCGCCGCCGGCTCCGCCCTCCCCGGGGAGCCTGGGGGACGTGCGGGGCCGCCGAGCGCGCACCTTCTCCTTGGAGACCTGGTGGGAGAAGGGGCAGGTGCCGTCCCTCTTCTTGCAGGTGCCACGGAGGAACCTGTGGGGAGGGACAGGGTGAGGGGGCGACGGAGGGCTGGCGGGCCGCCCGCCGCCCGGGGCGCTCACCTGGTGCACACGGCCACCTTCTCAGGGTCGTGGATGTAGGGGCAGTGCTCGCCGCGGTTGCACTTGCCGAAACGGTTGTAGTACATGCAGTACTCCTGCCCCGCCCGGCGCCGCCGCTGCCGGGCCTGCCGCACGATGGCCAGGCTGCGCTGCACGGCCCGGCTGCCGACAGGGAGCGGGTGAGACGACCGAGGCGCACAGCCCCACCCCACCCCACCCCACCCCACCTCACCCCGGGACGTACCTGGCCAGGGAGCGGCTACAGCTGCCAGGAGGGTCCAGCCGGCCTGAGGGAGAGGCAGGTCAGGCCCCCCTCACCCTGGGCTCTGCCCGCTCCACCCCTGGCTCTCCACCCCCAGCTCAGTCCCTTCCGGAGACCCCCTACCGAGGCTGGGCTCCGGCCAGGTCTGCCCCGGCCTCCCCAGGGCCATCCTGGGGCTGGCCCCTCTGTCTGGGGCTCTGGACACGCCCTGGCTGTGTACTTAAAGGGAGTGAAATACAGACGGAGGGCGTGGCCGTGGCTTGGGGAGCGGGCCCACCGTTAGGGGCCCCGACAACGGGCCTGGCTCCCAAAGGGCAGCTGCCCCCAAAGTGGCTGTGTGAGGGGGGGGCTTGCCCTGCAGGGCCCCCCCCCCGGACCAGATCGTCTCGGGGCAGCTCTGACGTGACCTGCCGGGGAGAGGGGCGCCGCAGGAAGCCGAGGGCCGGAGGGAGGACCAGGGCCGCTGCAAAGGGCTGCCCCAGGTGCCCTCCCGGTGCCCTTCCACGGCCACCTCTGCAGCTCCGAGCCCCACCACCACGCGAGCTCTGACTGCCACTCAGCCTGTGCAAGCCCGAGTCCCCGCCTCAGCCGCCCCCCATACACACACACACACACACACACACACACCCCGCCGCGCATCCGTCTCCTCCTGGCTAGGGTCTGAGCCCTGGCCGCTGTGGCCAACCTGGAGGCTGCTGGTCTGAGGCCAGTCAGGCACCGGCCCATCCCGGTGGGGTGTGTGGGAGGCAGCAGCGGGTCCTTGTCTCTCACATCCATGTCTCCCTTCCCTCCCTCTCTAAAACCCATGAAAACGTTTGCAAATAAAAAATAAAGGGGTGTCTCCAAGGCTGAACAGCAGGACCCCATCAGGGGAAGTGCGGCAGCCGGGCTGCTGGTGGTACAGGGGGCGGGCAGGGCGAGGGGGACAGGGGCTGCGGCCGGCCCACGTGGCACGTGGTGTGTGCACCGGCTGGGAGCGGGGACGGTGCGTCCGGGCTGCCACCAGGCTGCGCTGACGTGGGCACAGCCTGCTCCTGCCAGCGTGCTGCTGGCACGGGGCCGCACCCGGCCGGGCCCAGGCTGGCTCCTGAGGGGCAGGCTCACTCCCCACGTTTGCTCTTGGAGAGGCAGTGTGGGCTCGGCGCTTTGCCAGGCACAGGAGGCACCTTTCCAGCTCTGGGTGTTAAAAATGCACATCAAGTAGCTGGTGTGAGGGGCCGGGGGCGCTGAGAGGCGCTGAAAAGTTCAGCTGAAACCGCGACCTGGGAGCAGGAGGTGCAGAGCCTTCGAGAGAATTCACGCTTCCCAGGATCTTCCCAAAATAGACGCGGCAGCCACAGCCCACCCCTGCCGGGCCCTGCCGGCTCTGGCTCCGGGTCAGAGGGCGCCCGGGCACAGTGCCCCTGGGAGGAAGACTGACACCCTGGCCTGGCTCTGGTGATGGGGGAGCTCCAGGGAGTGGCGTCTGGGAAGGAGGGAGGCAGGGGTGGGGTGCGGGGCGCAGTCAGGCTCTCTGTGACCTCAAAGCAGCTATCGTGCGGCTGGCATGTCATAGGTCACAGGTCACGGGTGAGAGGCATGCAGACTGAGACCTGCCCACGCTGCCCTGCTCTGGGTCTGGGGCCAGCCGGCAGCCCTGGCCGAGACAGTGGCCCTGGCAGGGGACGGGCTTCTGCCTCACCGCAGGACCCACGGCTCTGGGGCCGGGACTGCACAAGGCCCAGCCAGGTGCCCGTCACAGCCACACCGGTGCACTCAGGTCTCAGACCAGGGCACACGGGAGCGGCCTGGGGCTGGACCCTGTGGAGGGCAGGCCTTGGGCCCAGGAAGGAAGGGCCTGGCCCCAGGGTTGGGGCGGGTCTGCCCCAGGAGACAGGCTCTGAGCTCTGCACCCAGAAGCCACGGTGACAGGAGAGGCGAGGGAGGGCCAGGCGGCTGCTCCTGCCTGCAGAGGCCCAAGCTCCTGGCACATGAGAAGCTGCCCGAGGGTCCATCCCTCAGAGGCCGCGAGGCTGGTCAGCAGGTGGCAGCACAGCCTGCAGGGCAGCTCTGTGGGGAGGGGCCTCCGGGACCGGTGGTCAGACCCCGAGGCTGGGGGTAGGGAGAGGGTGGAGGGCCGACCTGGGGAGCAGGCGCAGTGTGGCCACCGTGCTGTGAGGAGCGACAATCCTATCCCGCAGGCGGCCTGACGGGGGGAGCGAGCACCCCATAGTGCCCCGGCACCGGCCCTCCCAGGGCTCTGCCTGCCCCCCAGGTGGCACCTGGGGCTGGACGCAGGGCCCCCTCCTTGGGTGCTGCAGCCCCACCTGCCTGCAATCCTGCCCTTTCTTCTGGCAGAAGGTAAAAGTGGGACAAAACGAAGGTGTTCACAGTAAATGAGGCATCCCCGCCCTGCTCGGCCTGTTTGTGGGGGAGGCGGAGCCAGTGTGGTTCCAGGCCCGGCCCCATGCTCCCTTGCAGCCCTGTCCACCACATCTGCTCGTGCCTGTGTCCAGGAGCAAACACGGACGTCAGGGACCGCTCCCTCCTTGCTCAGCATCGGGCAGCGATGAGGCACTGTGGGCACTGAGCAGTGGTGAATACTGCTGAGGTTTCGGGAGCACCCACTCAGAAGGGAGCACCCACTGAGAAGGGGGAACACCCACTCAGAAGGGTGCACCCACACAGAAGGGAGCACCTACTCAGAAGGGGGAGCACCCACTCGGAAGGAACACCCGTTCAGAAGGGAGCACCCACACAGAAGGGGGCCAGGAGCATCTTGGGAGCGAGGGCGGGGGGCCTCAGGCCCTCACCTGTCCGTGGGAGGGGCCTGGCGCCCTCAGGGCTGGGCCGGCCGGGCGTCTTGGCGAGCTTGTTGGCCGTCACCCGGTAGAGCACGCCCCCGATGCAGCGGTAGCCCCGGTCCCGCCAGCGCGGGGAGCCGAGCTGGGCCCTCCCGCCCCCGCGGGCCGGGCGCAGGCGGTTCAGCACCAGGGACCTGCAGACAAGGGAGATGCCAGTGAGCAGTGGCCCCAGGCCCCAGGCGGAGGCCTGTGCCCAGCTCCCACCCGCCAAGCAGGCTCTGTGAGCCCCTGAGGGGTCGCGGGGAGGGACAGCCTCCCCCCGACACGCACACCCCAGCCAGGACCGCCTGGGCCCTGGGAGGAGGCCTGACCCCCTCACTGGGGTCGCCCTGCAGGCACCACGGCCCAGGGATCGGCCACGGGCTCCCAGGCGCGGGGCCCTGCAGCGTCCCGGCTGACCTGCCGCAGGACAAATCCCAACAGTAACTATTTACACAAATGGAGCTTAATCCCACATCAGCTAAGACAAGGCGCCCCTGCCTCCTGGCCAAGGAGCATGCGCAGCCTCTCCCCCCAGGCCCCCAGCCCACCAGGGAGCCAGGAAGCGGAGGGTGAGGGTGCGGCTCAAGCTCTGCTGAGGCCCCACAACTCACCCAGGGACCCCAACCCCACGGGGGCCGCAGGAGCCAGGGAGGGCGCCCCTAAAGGGGATGTGATGAGTGTGGGCGGGCAGGCGGGCAGGCAGGCCTGGGGGCGTCCGAGCACCCAGAACTGAGGTGCGGGGTCAGTAGCCCTGCTCCTGGGTGTGGCCGCCACCCCCCCATGCAGCCTGCGCCCCTCTCCGTCTGCAAGCTGGGGGATTCTCGCCCCCGGCCCCCGGCCCCCGGCCCCCGGGAGAGGCAGGCACCGGGACCGGAGCTGCGGAGTAAGTACAAGCTCGGGCGGCCGCACGGAGGCTGCCCGCCTGGAGCACTTAACCCAGTTTCCCTTAATTAACCAAGTGCCCAGCACGGCCGTGCAGGGACCGGCCCGGCCGGGGCCCGAGAGACGCCGGGCCCGGGGCCCGCAGAGGCTTGGGTGGGCGGGGAGGGTGGGCGTGTGGGCACCCTCTGGGGGGCAGCCAGCCCTCCAGGCTCTCCTGAGACCTCAGCCAGGCCCCGGGTGAGGAGAGGGCAGGCCGTGGGGGAATCTTCTCTGGCCCCGCACCTCCCGCAGGAGCTGTGGCCCTGCTCCAGGGCAGCCCGGCTGAGCCCCAGGCCGGCGGGGTCTCGGGAACGGCGTCCCTGCAGGTGCCATGTGGCTGCCCCGAGGAGGGGGTCACCCCAGAGCTGGCCAGGGCCTCGGGGAAAGCCCACCTGCCCGTGCCCGACCACCTGTGTCCTTCCTCACTGGCGGGTCCCTGGCTTGAGGGCTGGGATGGCGGGCAGGCGGGTGTCAGCCGCAGCAACGGTGGCCAGATGGCCAGGACAGCCTGGGGAAGGCTGCGGAGAGGAAGCTAACGAGATAATAGCAGGCCGCGGACCCGGCCGCCCCTGCCCTCGCCCAGGGCCCGTAATTCCTTTTCTACAACAGCAGCCTCACATCTAAGGCTCCCCCTCCGGCCTGGCCCACGCCGCCGCCAGGAAATTTCATTAACGCTGGGAAATAGGAAAGGTATTAAGCGTGGATAATGAAGGCCAGGGAGGGAGCTGTGCCTTAAGTGGGTCCTCTTTCGCGCCTTTGTAATAGGAGGCATGAACTTCCCCTTCAAATCCATTTCTAATCCATTTGAAATACTACAGCAAATTATCTCTCCCTCAGCCCGAAAGCGGCAGCCAATTTACTCCGAATGAAGTGACAATGGCCCAGGATTTATCACCATAACCTTGGCTACACCGGGTGAGGCTGGGCTCCCCTCACCCCGGGCGGGGCAGGAAGGACGGGTGGGGGGAGAGAACATTTTAAGTGAAGACGGGCAGGAATGGGGAGCAGACACACACCAACGCAGCGTTAAAGAGAGGAGCTGCCCACGCGCCCTCCATGGGGAGCAGCGGGGAAGTCCCGGCCGCTGGCCCCGGGCTCGCCCACCGTGAGCACAGGAACGGCCAGGCCGTGCCGGGAGCGAGTGCGAGACGCCAGGGCAGGGGCCGAGGAGGGTGAAGGGTCCAGCAGGACAGGAGGCCGCGCTGCGAAGCCAGGGGCCAGAGCAGGGTGTGCAGGCTCACCTAGGGCCGACGCCGGGAGGACCGCTCTGCCCGGCCCGGCCTGGGCACTGGGCTCTGCTCCTTTAACCCTGCGGTCCCCGGGCCTCTCGGGGCTCAGCGCACCAGCCCCACCAGCACCTGGCACCCTCCTCGGGACAGAGAGGGCGGGGCCTCCCCGGGACAGGGACACACACAGGGAGACCCGGGGCCGCAGGGGGCGTGCTGGCAGGGGCTCAGCCTGGCTCCCAGGCGGTGGTGATGGGGGGGCAGGCCGGCGGGGAGCAGGGAAAACAGGCGGGGAAGCAGTTTCAGGAAATGGAGCGCGTGGAGGAGGCGCAGGGAGTGCGCCGTCAGCAGAAGCGGAGGCGGCTCCGCACAGCAAATCCCAAGTAGGTCAGGCAGCGCCACCGTGACGGCTGCAGCTTAGCGAGCTCCCCAGAAACGCTGACGGCCCGCCCGCCCGTCCTGGGCTGCTCAGGGCCGGTGCAGCTGTGCCCACCTGCCCGGCAGAGTGGCTGGAGTCGGAGCAACCCGCACCCCCGAGAGCCCGAGGCCAGCGCGGCTCAGGCCTCGCTCAGGAGGCCCTGCGGGTGGTCTGCAGGGCGGTGCTGGCAGAAGGTTCTGCAGCCTGGAGGTGAGGGGCCGCCCCTGCAGCCGCCTGGCTCTCTGGGCCGCCTCCCGCCCTCTCCCGCCACCTTGGGACAGCAGCATGGGGCTGTGTGACCTTGGGAGCTGGCCCCGCAGGTCACCGGGAGGCCCCCCAGCTGCTGCTCCTTCCTGAGGGAGACCCCACCTCTCCCAGGTAAGGAGCAGAGGAGACTCCGGGCTCCCTGCCAGCCACGCCACATGCCGTGGCGGGCGACATGGACTGCCTGCGTCCATCACTCTTGGGCTCCGTCCGAGGGCTGGGCTCGTGTGCTCACAGCCACGCGATTGGTGTTCCGATCGATGGAGCATTACAAGCTCCCCCTGTAAGAGCCTCATAAACAACCAGACGGAAAGCAAAATTCTCCACAAAATGACACTTTAAACGTCCATTCCAGCCGGCGCTAGTGGTGTTCGGTGCGGCAGCTACAGAACCAGGCATCACTGGCCGAAATGGCCCCGCGAGGGGGTGCAGAGTTCAGCTCGAGGGGCAGACGGGCTGGGGCAGTGTCACCCCCTCAGCCTGTGGCCCTTCCTCGCTCCCTCTCCACCCTCTGTCTCTGTCCCAGCCCATGGCTGCACTGACCGTCCCCTGCTCTGATGGGAGCTCCTGAGGCAGCTCCTGGCAGGGCTCCGCGCGGGCACGCCAGGGACGGAAGGTTCCGGAGACCGGGAGGCCGGGCCCCACCTGCTCCCGCTCCCGGCACAGTCCCAGTGGGATCGTGCCAGCGGGCCGTTCCGCCGGCACGGGCCCTCCCACAACAGCGCCGCCTGAGGAGCCAGCCCGCAGGCCTGCACCCCATCCACACAGCACCCTCACCCTCCATCCCGATGCCTCGTGCGGGCTGAGCCTCACCCCAGGATGCGAGGACCCAGCCCACAGGTGTGAGCCCTGGCGGCCACGGCCCTAAGAGGCCAGGCGGCGAGCTGTCTGCAGACGCCTCAGCTGCCCGGACGGCTCCCCTCCCCCGGGCCCTCTCTGGGCTCTGTCCTCACCTCCGGGGTCCGCTGAGGTGCCACCAGGCCTGACCCACCGGGACAAGCCCCTCCCTTGCTGGGCTCCAGGAAAGGGCCCGCTGCCTGCACCCCATTTCTCCAGCTCCCCCTGGGCCGGGCCCCTCACCCCTAGCCACAGCCACCACCTGCTCTGCCCTGCCCCTCCCCCTGGAGCCCCCGCGGCGCCCGCGACCCCTACGACAGTCACCCTGTGAGGTCAGGGTGCGGCGGCCCCGCGTGAGCTTCAGCTTACCCATTCCCAGCGGGTTAAAGCGTTAAAGGTCAACACGGAGCCACAGCACTGGGAGAAACACAACGGAACCCACGGAACCCTGGGGAGGTGCCCCCTTCTAAGAAGATCAATATACCGTCGGAAAAGAATGACAGACAGAAACGTAAAAGTCCTGTTAAAAATTCTCAGGCAAAGCAGAAGCTGGAGAAAGGGAAGTCCGGTAAAGGGCGGGGCAGGGCGGTGACCAGGAAGCACAAACACAGACCAGACCGTACACACCTAAGGCCCGCCCGCCTGCCCGCCCACCCGCCCGCCCTGGAGCCCGCGGAGCTGCCCAGAGCTCCCGGTGGGGCCACACGGAGGCGCTGCCGGCCAACCCCCGCCTGTCCTGGAGGGGCGGTCCCACCGGGGGAAACCCCAAAAATGAGTGATTTGGGACCTACGTGGTGGTAAAGTGGTGCCAACCTAACAGACACCCAACGCCCCTCCCCCAGAAGTCTCTGCTGCAGACGAAGGCAGGGCCCAGGCCACCTGGGAGGCGGAGGTGGCACTGCTGTGGCTGGCACGTGGCCGGCCAGCACCTGCGGGCAGGGCCACCCAAGGGGCACAGAGTGGGTGGCAGCTGGCGGTGCCAAGTGCCCGATTCTTCAGGGAGCCCTACAAACCACTGGGGATGGAGGGGGGCGGTGTCAGGGTTGGGACCAGGTGGGCAGGGCCTCTGGTGGGAGGGTGGGAGGGGCTGGAAGAGGGAGTGCAGAGGGGACGAGGCCGGCCATCATTTATGCCCCGGCCGGTGCTTTATGGCCTTTTTAATTCGGCTCCTGCTACTATTAATGCAGTTAACGCTGAGATTATATCTGTTTTCTGGCGTCGGCTGTGATTTATCCACGCACCTTTCCGGCGGAGGCTCCACGCTGCTAAATCAAGGCCTTGCCAATTAAGTGCTGACTGGGGAAGTGGACGCGGCCCTGCAGACTCGCCGCAAATTACACCGCGAGGCGCTGGGGGCGTGGGCGGCAGCGGGGACCTTGCTGACGGCGGGAAAGTCAGGAACATAAACCTGCACCTGCCGCTGGCTCGGCTCCCCCCCCCCCCCCGCCCCCCGGCTCAGCAGGAGCCGGGCCGGCCCGCTGGTGGA